ACACCCAATTTCACCACATGACATGATATCACTTGATGTGGCATCAAAGGCAACATCATTTGGCATAAAATGAACTAAAATAAATAAAATTTAGATAGAGGTGAAAAAAGGGATAAAGAGGAAATACAACTGAAGAGTGTGCGATGTTATATTGTGGTGTGTTATGCTTCATATGTTATGTTATTTATTCTCATGTTATGGTTATGTTATGTTATGCCAAGTATTAAGCTAAACTCCCCTCCACTTAACCCATTCCAACTAATGTTATTTTAGCTCATTCAACTTACATAAACTATCCTTAATTTTATCGGTTGAATTTCAACCGCTGGGCGAACACTAGTATTGATAATTTGATTATCGGTTTTCATTGGAGAATTTCATATAAATCTAACGCCTTATCATTCGGCTAGTGGAATAATATGAGTAAGTTGTTAAATACCAGAAACCAAGCAATTAATCAAAAAAATGCAGGTGCGAGTGAATTTGGTAAGTAAGAGCATTCTTTTACATTACGCACATTGTGCATATTTATAAATGTAATTGTGAAAGCACATACTTGTACATATATGTATCAGCACAGACATGTATATTTGCGCGAATAAGGAAATATGTAAATAAAATAAATTCAACTGAAATAAAATAGAACAAGGAAAGAATTATAAGTTCGGGCGAAACCGAACTTTATATATCTACCCGGCGCAGGTATCAAATAACGTCGTCTCAACTTCCTCTAAACTACATTTGCATGACAAGCAGTGTTGTTTTTCCCGATTTCAGACATTTTCGATGATATGTTGAGTTAGATCTAAAGATTTAGTTGAACCATGTTTAGTAGGAATCTATAAAGTGGTTACCGAGATACACATTTGTAGTCTTAAAGTGGGAGACGCCACGCGCAATTTTTAAAAGTCTACAGAAGTCTTATTTATTGTTAGGAGATTGCTGTAAATATTAACTTAGAGTAAATTACCGTCCTCATTTTTTGAATTATCGGAGTTTTCATATATCTGAAATTTACCGTTATACGGAAAGCGGGTGTAATTTTAATCCGATTTGAATAACTTAAATGCACCGAGTTTAGTAGAAATTGATAAATCGGTTACCGAGATACACATTTGTGGTCATAAGTGGGCGGCGCCACGCCCATTATCCAAAAATTTATAATATAGTTTTATGCTAAGTGCTTATTACAATCATCGATCTTAAGTGAATTAGCTTCTGTAGTTGCTGATTTATCGCTGTTTTCGTGTTTCTGTAAATTACCGTTATATGGGAGGTGGGCGTGGCTATTGCCCGATTTCAACGATTTTCAACAAATTTCTTAGCCGGATCCCAAGCAAGGTTCGTACCGAGTTTGGTAAGGATTTATGGAGCGCTACTAAGATAGAGTATTTCATCGTAAGTGGGCGGGGTCACGCCCCTTTTCCAAAAATTTCATAATATTATTATTTTGCACGAAAATTATACTTCACGTACTGATTTTGAACAGTTTTGATCCAAGATTTACTGAAATATCGTAGTTTTAGCATTTTTCGAAAATACCGTTATATGGGAAGTGGGCGTGGTTATGTCCGAGTTCGCTCATTTTCAATACCAACCTACCTTGGAGAAAAGGTAACCTACATACCAAATTTCGTTGAGATATCTCTCGTACGGACGGACGGACAGACGGACAGACAGACATGGCTTAATCGACTTCTCTATTCACGCTGAGCATATATGTATACATTTGTCTACATCTATCTTGATTCGTTTTGGCTGTTGTAAACAACCGTTATGTGAACAAAGTTAATATACCCTTGTGCACAAGTGCGTTCGGGTATAATTAGGTTTCAAACCCATTTATTTATTATTTATTTTATGGTGGGAGAGACATAAGAAATTTTTCCGATTTAAGTTGTTGAAAAGTAAAAAGCGGAAAAATTAAGATCCCTCTTCTCTACTCTCTAGTCTCTATTTTCAACGTTTTTCTCCAGAGAAGGTTTTTTCGGTCAGAATAGAATAGTACTGAAAAGCACCATGGAGCGCATGGAGATCATAATTGCAAGAAGAGCAATAAGAGAAGAGCTCCTGGCGCGCTCAACGGGATTATATCGGGCAAAGTGCAGAAAATAAGAATAGTCCAAGGCATTCAAACAGGACACTGTAGATTGAAGGGCCACTCGTTCATAATAGGCGCATGTTTGGTCAATCGATCGCTGGCGTTTCTGCGGCTCGACCAAAGAAACACCTTTAAACCTTCTAGTCGAATGCCACGCCATTTTCAGGAGACGGAAAATAATAGCCTAGGGGTAGGATTAAGTGAACAGAAGTGGCTTGTGATAGGAAAAACACTCCGTGTTGAAATGATTCCACATCCTCATGCTCCAGCAGCGGTAAGGGTCATCGATGATTTTCAGCTTTTCTGCAGGTGGTGAAAGATCCATTCACTTCCAATACGGCGCACAGTGGAAGAGCTCCATATAAAATATGGCAAAAAGTAGTGAATGTGCTCCGATTTTGCTGAAAATTGTAACCTGGAGCACTTTTACGTAGGAATGAATAAATATGAGAAATGTTTGAAATGAGTGGACTGCCACGCCCACTACGCTAGGGGCAGACATGATTTATCCGATTTCACTGAAATTCGATTTGTGACTTAGATTAACATAACATAAATCTGTAAGATGGGAAAAATTGGTTAATTGCCACGCCCAACTGCTACCGAATTCTGTATTCTAATGTGTCAAGGTCTAGTAACGATACTCTAAACTAGCAAAAGTCTGGTGCAATAAACCCACAAATAAAAAAATAAAAAAATGTGTGGATTGGCGACCAGTCACGCGCCCCTCCCTCCACACTAGTGGATGGAAATGGGAAGTGTTATCCGATTTCAGGGAAATTCCGTTTGGAAGGTAGAAATCGATTTTAATAAAATCGGATAGTATTTCCAATTCCCGCCCACTAGTGTGGAGGGGAGCACACTTTTTTTATACTTCTGGGTTTTATGTTATTTTGGTGGATCGTTGCTAATCCTTACCGAATTAGAGTACAAAATTTGAACAGCTAGTGGACGTGGTAGTTAACCGATTTTAATCATATTACAGAGTTTTGTCTTCCCAGGTTAATCGAAGCTACTAACTGTACTTCATTGGAATCGGAAAACATTTACCATATCTTCCCCCTTTTGTAGTGGAAGTGGTAGTTCACCAATTTTCACCAGTTTTCATACTTTTTCTTTCCTTAGCCAAAGTAGTTTAAATAGCAAATTTCAACAAAATAGAGAGCCGCTTTCTCCCTTTTCCAAAAAACCTTTTTAGGATCTGCCAGTGCGAAACCTTCAGTCAATGGAAGATTGACGACATGGGCGCAGGCGGGCGCAGCTGACATTTTTACTGTTATTCGTTTAAAGTGTTCAAAGTATTTTTGTACCAATCATCCTCCTCCACCGCACAGCACCGCAAGCTACTTATTTATACTTCTCTGAAAAACACTGTAAGGACTAGGAAAAATTATGAGCGGCTGATTTGGAGCCACTCTCGCGAACTGTTGAATTTGGTATTCAAAAAAATGCAGTTTATATCGATCATTCTAACGTAAAAAATTCTATTCATACAACATCGATTTCCTGTGTCCTTTGATAATTGCTAGAGTAGTTCTTCTTTGGAAGAAATCCTTAAGACTTGTTATTAGATATTTTAAGAACAGAGCCAACTACTTAGTTTGATATTTCCACAAATTTCGAAATTAGGACTTTCTGCCACTCTCAGACCACCGTACGGCGTGCAGCGGTCTGTCCGAGATGGTAGGAACTCTTTTAACGGCAACCAAAGGACTTATGTTCAAAACTCTCCATCAGCAATTTTCGTAAACTCTATTTTCTTGTCTCCCATTTCCGATATTAATTCTAACTTTAAAACCAAGTAGTAACTTCTGCTATCATGCAATATAAGGTAAACAGCAATATGATTTTACGGATGCTTATGTCAAAAAAAATTTGAAATACTTCAATAGACTGGACTGATACGTCCCTTAATATGACCTAAAATTTTCACGTCCTGATATCTGCCCTTGAAAAACTTTGCGAATCTGAGTTTGGACACTGTTTATCTGCGAAGCCGAAATTAAATATGCATGTATGTATACACTTTTCAAGTTAAAGAAAAAATATCCATGAGTATGTTTTTTTTTAGTAAAAAAATATACTAAAGCACTTCTTTATTTTCTCTCTCTCTCCCTCTCGATAATACTCTCAAAACCACGCACAATCCAAATCACTCTGCTGCTATCTATAAAATCCCGGCGTACGTACACCTTAAGCTACTGGCAAATGGGCACCTTGTGGCTGGAAACCGTTCTCATCGGCTACGTAGTTAACGGTGTAAGTCTGACCATCATCACCGACAAAGCTGTAGGAACCTCGCACGACGATAGCCTCATCTTCGGAGCCAACATTCTTCAGTTGACCTTCTTCATCGTGCTGTGTACCATCGCTGGTAGCATAACCGAAACGATAACCCTCAGGCTGGACATCAGAATCCTGGCGCACAATTTCCACTTGTTGTTGTGGTGGCGCAGCCAAAGCCACAGCGAAGAGAGCAACAAAAACAATGACGAATTTCATGTTGATTAGTTGTGGTATTTAACTAACTGGTAGCTGGTAGCTGGTGGTGGTGCTTTATTGGCTTCTTGTAATTGAATGACAAATTCAAATTCTTACGCATGCTTTTTATACTATCACTAAATATTCGATGAATTTTCAAGTTCATCAACTTAATCAACAAATATACGAATAGCTGGGTATTTTCAATTGAAGCGAGTTCAAAGTTAAGTCAATCTATTTGTTATTGGTTTTGTCTACTTTTGATGAATAGGTCTCGTTGTACATCTGTATGTTCGTGCCAAAGTGTGTATGGATGTATGTATGCATGGCTAGTCGTTGTGGGTATTGATTAATTACTTGGTAGCATCATCAGCATTCCCCACCGCAAAGCAGCTACATACATACAAACTACATTGGATTAGTGCAAGAAAGACAACGAGCTTAGGCATTTCCTCCGTTTTGTTAGTTCATAGAGAAAAAAAAAAATGCCTCCAAATTTTTTATTTCTTCTAACTATTTTTACGCAGATTTTCTTTGATTGTCTTTTTAGATTGTAATTGTGCGTACTTTTGTGCTGCAAACAAGTTTAAATCTTCTTCAACATTTGGATTTTCTCATTTTTAATTTGTTTAAAAATTGTTTTTTTCTTTTGCAACAAAATCTTTGTCTTGCATCCATATTAAGCGGATATTGTTTATATTTTTAATTTCTTCTACAAATCTTTCGTGTATTTATGTTGGTTGCCATGTGCATACCGGTGTTATTTATTTTATGAAATCATAATTCACGCCTTCGCCTGCATGCAAGGCTATGCAAGTTGAAATATTTTAAGGCGTTGGTATACAAACTAGTTTTATTTTTATTCGAAAAAAAAACACGCAGAAATTCAAAGTAAATTCGTAGGAAATATTTGCCTAAATATGACAAAATCGTCTGTCTATTAATCTTCTTTGTTTAACATTAAAAAGGTGTTCTCTGTTAAAAAAAAAAAACACAAAAACGAGTTGCTAAAAATCCAATCAAAAAATAAAAAAATGTCCGATTTCTATCAGACTAAGATTTGCTGGTTTCATACTTAGTACACATATATAAAGGAAGTTCAGTTTAAAATTGTGATCAGCAAATGAGATTCGCTCACTATGGCTTCGAAATTAATGAACCTGTTAGAATACTCGTTTTTACTTATTTTGATATCAAATTATTTAGGTGGATATTTATACATAAGAGCAAAAAACAGTGTAGCCAACGAATCGCATGTATGTAAACCGTTCAATTTGTTCATATGCTCATTTTTTCCATAACTAATTACTCAAAAAATATAGGCCAGATTTTACTATTTTTTCAATTATAGGCTCACCAAAAGTCAGGTTTTAGGGTAAACTGTGAGGTATAGAGTTTTCTAAATGAAATAAAAATGTTAAGGTTGTATATATGTAAGAGCTCTCTCTGGCCGTCGCATTTTGTTGATACGTATCAGAGATCTGCATCGGAAAGCATTTTTTCAAAGTAAAGTTCTCTAGAAATTACGTAGGTTAGTTTAGGTTAGAAAAGCGTGTGTGGAATATTCCATACTTGCACTTGGAGATAGAACTGTCCTATTGTGAGTGCCTTCTTTAAGTGAGTGTCAGGAGGAGACACGTACCTACAATCGAAAGATTAGCTTCAAGTCATTATTCTACTGAACCAATTACATACTATCCCTGATGAAGCAGAGGAGATCAGACAGTTCCACTTCCGCTATCTCACCCAGACTGTTAAAGAAACGTGAACCAAGTGTTTTAGGCACTTCGTCTGTAGAACTGGACATCGACACAGAAAGTGGTCAATTGACTCTTCCTCATGGCAACCTCTGCAGAGAGTTCTTTTTGCTATTCGCCACCGTTGAAGCATTGGTGATAACTATAGAACAGTGTCCAGTGATGAAGCCTCCCTTATGAGTTTTTGCAGACCTTCCCGATACCGTTCATCCCGGCCAATTTGAAATCAGTGCCGTGGGTCCAGCCGGTACCGATATCCCGCGCCCATCCCTGTTCCGAATACAACAAGAAAAATTAAGTTTCCGTTTGTCTTTAAGGGGTACCGGACAATTTCATCCAAGGACAGTTCTCGAAAGACCCACGAATTGTTGTGTTATCAGTATATACATTTTCGAGCTGCGTTCTCAAGATTCACCAAAAAGACGTTTACACACCAATAACTCTTTGATGCCCGACAAAGTCCCTAGGGTTCTATGGCGTTTTCAGTGATACGAAATTTTAATCTGGTTCGACCTAACTACCGCAACCTTCGCGACATCTATAAATGGAGTGTTTAGAAACTTTTAAAATAGTCTCCACGATTACGGGATAACGATCATCATAATAAAGCGTTTGTGGTTCTGGATAGGGTGTGGCGCCTACGTGCTTTTCCATAAAAATTTAGTGACCAGGATCAGTGCTAGATACGTTGTTTAGCTGGTGACAACATCGTACTATAAAAGGCCTCATATATGTTGACTAAAGAAGAAACCACTGTATATACGACATGAGATGGCTTAGAACAATGTCCGTGTACCTGGCTGCTCTATCCATATGTTGACTTGGATGCCACGGTGTTCGCTTCTGAGTACTTATTTTGATGTTATTGCCTATGATCCATTGCTTGTAAGTAGCACAAAAGAGCTAAGACTTATTGATCTAAAAGTTTTAGCTAGCGAGTAGTCTACTTTGTTAACGCTCGGTACGCTGATTTCTAGCGCCTCTTTCCACAACGCTGTAACACTGGATAGAGAAAGACGGTTGCTTAATATTCATCAGGCGGGATAGCAGTAAGCTTTTTCCTATTCTAGCAGCACTGTCTGCTGACTAGCGGAGCTAGGAGACGGTCTGTTCTCACTAGGTTTCATCATCAGTGCGAAGTAGTGCGGGCGTTGTAAGGGTTCTTTTCGTTTCCCGAAATCACTAAAAGATTTTGGTCTTGCCATTCGTTCTTGTCTCGGAAAGTCTAAAGTGGGAAGCGTCGGTCAAAATATCATTTAGCCTGTCTGCTATCTTAATAATAATAATAGTTAATAACAAGTACATATATTTCAAAACTGCCCCAGTTCGCATTCTCATTCTTGGGGTTTCTTTTGGGATCGCATTGCCCTCTCTGCTCTCAGTTAAACCAGATGATTCATAGGTCTGACACGGAGGATTCCGACGAAACCTTCCACTGTGAGATCAGAATATTTCGATGTCAATTACATCGAGGACTGCTTCTCTCACCCTGGTAATGAAAGTGTGATCAACATTTTGCATATTTAGCCTGCATTTATAATATACTGTAAGAAGAGCTCTGATTAATACCATTTTGTGGGATTTAGTTTTTATTTGATTTCCGTTTTTTTTTTTACTTTGCATTTTATTTTTGAGGATTTTTCATGATTTTTTCAGGTCGGTTTCGCGGTTGTTTGGGAACTTTTGGAATTTTTCGCGAACCTCCAAAAGTACTTTTGTTTTCATGGATGTCTAAAAAATTAAATCTAAAAATGCAAAATTTTTTCTGCTCAACAATATTAGGAAAGCTTTTTCCACCATCTCTTTATCTTCAACCCAGGAAGTATATAAAAGTGAGCAGTCAGCAGTACCACAAGTTCTCTGCAGTCCTTCTGACTCAGCAGATAAAGTACCTAAGCTATACCTGATGAGATTAACCATTAAACCCTTGATGGCACTCAATCACTATTTAATGAAATATTTTGATCGTGGCTTCGATGGCCGAAGAAGGAATTAGCTATTGCAAAATAATGCGTTTCTGACTAGACCACGCTGAATGATGAAATAGAGAGTATAAATGGTAGTGTCTTAAAGCATAAACAGACGACAGCGTTAATCCGGATCAACTCGGGAATTA